TCACAAAAACGGAATGAACAGTTTAACAAAAAAGTCAAACTTAAAGCGGGGGAGTCGTCATCTGCGCATGCGTCAGATGGCCATAGCGTGTCATTGTTTACAAACATGAACCCATGAACCTTTGCGTTTTTAGCGTGTGTTGTTATCGTCGTTTGGAACTCAATTCCCGCTCGTGTGCAGGTGACGACCCTCCCGCTTTAATTTGAACGTATGAGCGGGGGCTGTTTAGTGCGTCTACCAGGCCTGGTGTATTTAAATCAATTGATATGTTATTTGTAGAATGTATCGGCAAACGACAAGGCTTGTTGTGTCCAATGATGAAAATGCCGCACCTAGTGCATGATCCAGCATCTTGATATAGGGGTATACCAGCCAACTTGAATCGAAGTCACCTGCAACTTAAGATAGAAAGATACCCGTGATATTCAAGTCAAAAACCGTCTACATTTCGTCGTTTCAATATTAGTTACCCCCGGTAGTAGAATGTTAACTGTTTTGGTTCACTTAAAAATATTGTAAATTTTGTAATACTTCTAGACATAAAAAAGTACCATGTATGACGCTATATATCTTGTTTTGACCACGTGTAACTGAGCGAAATGGTGAAATATTGAGATGTATCCTTTCCACAGAAAACATTAGTGTTGTATCAATTTTCTCCGAACTTAGTAGGGAGACACCATATTTTAAATTTACATAATATCAAATATGTAAAAATAAAGAAAATGTCAATGTTTTTATTTTTGTGTAACGTTCTGCCATACAACGTAATCTTACCATCCCTCGTATTTAGAAGATACTCGGCAACTGCAAACACATTTGAGAGAAGGCGCTTTCAGCTTTTAAGAACAAATCTATTTTAATCATAATAAATCCTCCATTTTCAATATTGGCTATCAAAGTGTTCCTTTTGACTTTGTCCCTTCTTTTCCAAGTGAAGTTGTAAGCAATTTGTTTTATAACTGTCTTGTTTTATGACTTCTTCGTAAATAAATTGTGATAAATCAAATGTATTCAAAATGTCGTATTTTACTGATGATCGAGAATTCCGTCTGGACTGCTTCAATTGTGTTACTTTTTCATCTGTAATAAATTTAGTTTCAACATAAGTGAAAAATATCCCTAATATTGCATTTTATGATATATATTTGGGGGGTATGCCTATACTCTAATATTCTGTTTTGTCATGATTCAGTCTTAACCCCGATCAGTTGCCAAACTTATTCACAATTTAGAACAATCTATATATCTACCAAAGGTGAATGAACTAAACATGATATGTCGTCGGCATACATTACAAGCTTGATAATTTTAAAATTCTGATAGAAAAACTGTTGCGGATTCTAACTGATGGCAGTTCAATGTTTGAAACGAAAAGGTAATTTAAGAAAGAGATAAGGGGTCACTTTGGCGGACTCTCTAATTTACTGTAAAATAACCCGTCGATGCTCCATAGTTCATAGCACGGGAGGTGATATTATTATACAGTGTTTTGACATCATCTATAAAGTTATTGACAAAATTAAATGATTTTAAATTATGAATAACGAAACTGTGGTTCACACAGTCAAAAGCTTTATGGAAACTGATTGATCAATATCTAGAACTTTGGGGTTATTTTGAAATTTCGTGAAACAAATTGCATCAAAAATCGCGCGCACATCATCTCCGATATAACGATCCTTTACAAATACACACTGATCCGAATGAATTATTTTTAGCAGAACATATTGGATATGCGTTAATTCTATAATTCTGGATTAGGGTTTTATCACTATTTTTCTTGGCTAAGACTGTTATAACTTCTTGTCCGCTATAAACCTTTAGTATTTGGAAAAGTCACTAAAAACTTAAAAAATAAATGAACAAAATTGAACAATCACTACTAGAAATAAAACACGAACTGCAGCGAAATCAAGAGATATGGGGTGCAGAAATATCTTCGCCAGCCAATACACATTTATTCGGCCGTCGTCAAAACACCTTGAACCCCCCCCCCCGTGAGCGGCCTGCCCTGGTGACACCGGTTCACACTCAAAGGGTACCACCACATAAAACAAATACGCGCGGTTGCCAGTGTGTGCAGAGATAATCCGCCACGAGGACAATACTATTGGCTCCTGTGCATGTTCTGAACTTGCTAATTACAATACACTTTACAACCAAAGCAAATTATTGTTTTTAAATCATTTCATAGCCGAGAAGAGATCCCCCAGTACTAGACATATTTATATTAGAATGCGAAGTGTGTTCTCATTGATTTCTGATTACTAGTATCTGTAATTAGCGAAACGAACCATTTACTAATTAAATATTGTTATTTTCGGCAAATTTTTGTATGGACATATATACGACTGAAAGGTGAATATACTGGTCAAGTTTTGTCCGACAGTTGTAAATATTGTACGTGTAAGACTCTAGTTTCGCTGATTACAGATTTCCGATTATCTGTAATTAGCGAAACGAACCATTTACGTATAAAATATTGTTATTTTCGGTAAATATTTTGTAAATGTTGAACGTATAAAACCCATTTCCACTGATTACAGTTTAATTTTCATTATGTGTGTTATCCCGTTTTTGTTTCGTTTTTTGATTACAATATTATAAGCCTCTTTTTGTTTTACCACACAGCTGTTCTTGTGTAACGTCAATAAACATTGAACAAAACATTGGAAGGGAACACTGACATCAAACTTTTTCTGAAATTATTTCATTCAAACATTAAACCCATTT